TCATGTCCAATCTGTTCATACGGTAGATCTCATTAATCTATGGGAACATTGATCAAAATTTAGGTGACTACTACTACACTATAACAAAATCAATACGGCAACGAAAAGATAGCGTCAAACATCTATAGTAATAAAAAGAAAGTAAGAATCATTTATAGAACATTCGATATTATCAATTTTCCTTCCACGTATACTGCAAAACCCTCAGCGAAGAAACGCATGATAAGAAAGGAACATAAAACACATGAGTACCTTTTGTGATGACATTCTCATTTTCATTTTGATATTTAGAATTGCAAACGTAGTATACCAAAAAGAATGGGGGGATTCTACAATTTGGATTCCTTAATTTTGATACATGTTTTGATGGCAAGTTTGATGGATGTATTTGGACTCTTAGAGTCGTATTGGTTCACATATGCAAGATAGGAGTAAATGTAGTGTTATTTCACATATAAATGGCATGAATTTTCATAGATATACTTGAATTAGTGTATACATGAAGAGAGGCCATCTATTGTAATTGCAAATGGATGCAAATTTTGGGCATTCAGAAGGTGCAAATTGCGAAGAGCATAATTGGAAGAGGAAAACTTTGGGAACAACCCCTTGAGCTTCTGATCTTTACATAGATTAGATAAATAGTATGCAACCATAACATGTCAAAAACAAAATTTAAAGGAGAAGCCTACGCCATGATAGTATGACAGCAAATTGAAATCATTGCATTTTATTTTACATCAATTGATCTCATCTCATCATTTAAAACTTATGGTCCACAATGTTTCCAAGTTGCAGGGCACTAGAAAGATTGAGGCACTTTCTCTTGGCAAATGTGGCAAGGGAAGAAGATACACAGCTGAACAATTTAAAGAAATGACCAACTTGAGGTTCCTTCTAGCGGATGGTGCGAATTTCGCCGGAGATTTCCAAAACTTACTTCCTAAATTAAGATGGCTTCAGTGGGCGAATTGTCCCTCGGATTTTACTGCGGCCAACTTTCATCCGAATAAATTAGTTGTACTCGATCTGTCAAACAGTGCAATTTCGGAGGACTGGGGAGGATGGGCTCCACTCAAGGTAAGATGTAAAGAAGGCATTGAAGTATTTTCAATATAAATTTTTTTTCCTTGTACATATAACATTTGAAAATTGATTTTCATAATTAAACTAGCCGTTTCTCTTTAATCTCATACTATTGAAGGAATACATGGTGCCCAAAGAATGCATCTCTCTTCCATTTGAATTTGTCATATGCTATTTGATAATAAAATTTGCTTCTATTTAATCAGTAAACATTTCCTTTGAAATGTTATACGAAAATAAATGCAGTCAACACTTATACATCCCCAACATTCTTTTGCAATTGATATACTTAAAAAAACATTTATCTATTGGCGTGGTCAAACACTACCAAAAGAGACATTTAAAATTAAACAAGACAACTGTGAAGGAGTCAAGGAGCACAAGCATTTTTTGAGCAATTCTAAAATGTCAAAACATAAGGAGTAGTGGAAAATCACAGGCTGCCAGTGTCCAATGACATTGAGGTACCATTTCTTTTTTTCAGATGGCAACCGAGCTCAAAGTTCTCAACCTCGAGAATTGTCAATCTTTGAGAAGAACTCCCGACTTGTCTGCTTTCGAAAGCTTGGAGATTTTGATTCTTGTAAGTTGTCAAAATCTAAAAGAGATTCATCCTTCTATTGGGGACATCAAGACCCTCATTTGCTTGGATGTCTCTTGGTGTAAAAGACTCAAGAAGCTACCGGCAGGAATAGGTAGAATGGTAAAATTAACGGAGCTTCGCATAAATTACACTGATATACAAGAGATTCCTATTTCGAGAGGTTGTTTGATGGAGCTGGAGACTCTATGTGTCGAATGTTGTGAACGACTTTCTCAACTTCCTAAATCTATGGGCTCCCTTGTCTCATTAACTCTATTGGACTTATCTGATTCAGCAATTGAAGAATTACCTGAATCCATTGGTTCCATGAAGAAGCTCGAGACTTTGAATGCCTCTGAATGTAGACTATTAGATAACATACCCAGCTCCATAGGCAATCTAGCATCCCTACAAAGCTTGTTCTTACATGACTGCTCCTCATTGACAGAGATCCCCGACTCGATTGAAAAATTAGCATCATTGACTGAGTTGTACTTAGGAAATACATCGATTACGAAATTACCTGAAAGCATTGGGAATATGCCAAATTTGAGGATCTTGGACATACATAGAACTAACATAAAGGAATTGCCTGATGCCATCGGGAAGTTGGCAAAACTCCAAAGGTTGGAAGCTGGAGGATGCAAAAAGCTAGAACAGCTACCTAGTAATATATGCGAATTGGTTTCGTTGGAGGAGCTTTCTTTATATGATTCAAGCATTTCGGGCTTGCCAGAAAGCATTTCTAAGCTCTCTTCTCTCCAAAAGCTCGATGTTAAATATTGTGAAAAGCTCCGAGAATTACCAGAACTGTCTTCTGGCTTAACAATTCTAATTATCACCTGCCAAAGGCCGCCGTTGCCCAATTTTTCCCAACTATCCCGTCTCGAGACACTCGCTTTTTATAATTGCCCTTGGCTTGAACATGTCCCAGAGCTTCCCATTGGACTATCGCAGCTTCTTATTGAAGGTTGCGGAAAATTGAAAGCATTCACGAATTTGTCAAACTCGAAGCACTTATCAGATTTGCATCTCACCAATTGCTTTCATCTCGCAGAAGTCACCGGCTTCGAAGGTTCACATTGCCTATCCAACTTACCTGCAGGGAAATGCCCTAAGATAGCTAGGGTTGATGGGATTGAAGATTCTTCGAAGTTGATGAGCCCAAATGCATCTCAGCTCGATGGATCGCTAGATCTTTCCGATTCAAAGATTCTGCAGAGAATGGACGCCGCAACAAGTTGCGTGAATTCAGTTGAAATCCAAGACCCTGGTGGATCAAAATCCTCTCAAGTGTCGGATATCCTTAAGTGCACGTCCGCCGGACGATTGCTAGACTTTTCCAGTTTTAAATACCTGAGAAGCCTTTTTGTTTGGAGTTGCAATGGTGTAACTGAAATTCAAGGCCCCGATAGATCAGAATCCTTGACATATTTGACTATTGGCGGGTGCTCTTCCCTTAGATCGGTGGACCTCTTGAACGTAAAGAATCTGCAGCATTTTCGTTCTTTCATATGCGAAAATTTAGTTGAAATTCGAGGGCTGGAGGGATTACGACCCATGCGAGAATTCATTATTTCTGGATGTCCGTCTCTTAGACAATCACCGGACCTGTTGCGTTTAAAGGCGTTGTCCCGCTGGAAGTGAGGGAGGTGGGAGGGAGGGAGGTGGTCTGGGCCAGTTGGGGGTGAGGATCACAGACAGACAGAAGGTGTTTCGGATCTCCTCCCCATTTTCTCTTCCCATTCCCTCATTCATTCTTTTCTTCTCATCATCAGTTGTGTTCAGTCAAGGAGAGAGAGAGAGAGAGAGAACGGAAGAAGAGCAGTAGTTTTCGCGACTGAGGGAGGGGGTTCACCGAGTCCAATTGCCGATTCCTCGAGCTGGCCTTGCGATTCCTAGGAGCAGATCGAGATGGTTAGTTCTTTTTCTTTTTTATTGAATCCTCCTTTGGCGATTGTCCAATTTCGATGCTTGATTCGCCTGCCTGGTTACTTCTTCTTCTTCTTTTTCCTCTAATGAAGGAAAGTTTGGGGTTGATGATGTTCCTGTGGAAGTCTAATGGTTGCGCCTGTGTTATGGATGTATACATAGTAAAATATGTAAAAAAGCAAAGAGATAGCCCTGGTGATATCTTTTCTGGCAGGCCTCTTGAATTTGCACTTACTTATGAAGTGAAAATTGATTGATATCGGGCGAGTCTTCATCACCTCAGTAGTAAACAACTTGAGTTTCCGCCATAACCATTTGGCCTTGGAGGAGACAGCAAACTCAATAGGTAGGAGTTGTCCAAAGGTTACCTGGTAACTTAACCAAAACATTCAACCAAGATTAGCTATCGGGAAACATCTCCCCGATACATCAAGTCAACGTAAGATTGTGCGATGTTGAATCCTACCAAGAACACTAACTGGAAGTGCTCATCAACGAAGGACAGAAATAATTCTTTCAGCTGAGTAAAAGAATAATGCACAAAGCTGTGTGGATAAGCTGGACATTGTGGGACTATCTAGTAGGCAGTTACTAGCAAAATACTTTGAACCTGTACTTTTACAAGATGGACCCTCCCTTTGGAGTTGAAGTAACATATGTGATTGAAGGATTGGAAAATAGATGATATCCTTGGTCTATGATGACACAGAGAGAAGGCACATTGTTTAAGTTAAGTAGTTTTATTTTGTTTTGTCATCTTTTCAGGGTTTAGTGAAGATAGTAGTAGCCGGTGCTCCTCTTCGTTTTTTATTCTGGTTACTAGATTTGTTTTAGGATTTGAATTATGTTGTATAGAGACGGATAGGTATTGCCTTGGTGCCTCACTTATTATACCTTTTACATAACAAAGAAATCAGAGAGAAAAGAAATTGAGATTGGGTTGCCAGAGGAGTGATTCATAATACTAATTCAAGGATTGATGTTCGTCTACCCACAGACAAACTAATATACAATCAATTAAAGATGAGCTATGAGTATGGGTTGTACCTCTCCATTCTGTGGAGTTTCTCCCATGCATGAACACAGCATGCGTTACGTTTGCCGGTGGCAAAAGGAATATTGAAAAAGCAGGAACCAAGATTATTGCGTTCAGTCATCTGCCTAGTTCTTGGGGCATGAACTTTTGTCTTCCCAGCTCAAAGCACTCTTCGCCTTCCCCTTCAAATGATATAAAGGAGCCAAAATTATTGATGACACTGATACTTGGATAATCATACATGTTAAATTGTTTTTCCTGTAGTCGGTTGCTCCCAAACTTTCGTGTAATAAAAAGAAGTATCTTGCGCTCCTTTTTTAGGAGCAAATGGGATCGTTGAGGTTAACCTATGTCCAGGTATTTACCTTTTCATCTCTGCTTTTGCATGATAACTTGGTGGAATTTTCGCTCTTCATTGATGGTGTTTCATTGTTATGCTACGCCGAATGCTGATAAGTTCCTCTGGATTAGTCAGAGCATTATGAATAGTGGCTGTTAGTTATATCTATACAAGATTGTTACATTGAAAATCGTTTTTAGGATTGCTGTCTGTATAGGATGCAATTAAAAAGATGGAAGTTGGTCACGTCAAAAATCATTCCCAGTTGGGACCAGGAGAAGGATCATTGGATATGTAGAATGGGATTCCTAATCCCAGTCCCAAATATCCTACTTTGCCTATTTAATTAGGACTCAACCTCATAGTAAATGAAATTAGGCCCCAGTTCTCACTGTCCATGATCCATTGTGCGTCTAAAACAATATCTAAAGGCCAAACCTGCTAATTAGGGCTAACTTTGGGGATTGAACTATGAGGGGATTATAAATGAGAATGAGGTGCCGCCCTCATCCTGAATTAGATTGGATGGAAGATTTAATTGGTGGTTGTGGCAAGGCTGAAGATACTTTCTATACAGACTTGGGTGAATCCATAAGCTTTTCACTGGAGTAAGAATAGCTTTTTATTGCTGGAGTTGGAAGTGGGCTCTATCTTCATGAGAGCTTGGGTTGGGGTAATGGAAGGTCTTCTGTGCCTCCACAAACAGCAGTGCAGCACAATGCGAACACCTTTGTACAGCAACCATCTCTTCTGGCTGGGGACGGAATTCTTTTTTACGTCATAGCATATAGCTCTTTACCCTGTTTATTTCTTTCATCCTGCTGTCTTCTTCTTTTCACCGCCATTATCTGGTTTTGCGATTGTTTTATTCTCTTCTTTACTTTTGGCCCAGATGCTTCTCTAGTTAACTTTCATTAAGAGGTAGGAGAGCTTCTTCAGTGATGTGCTTCTGCTGTGGTGATGCTCCTGCTTTTATCTTCTACTTTTGAGCTTCATTCCCTCTTTTCAAAGATAACATACAGGTGTTAGTACAGAAAAAAGTTTAAGAATCTATCACTTTATACCTTAATTTTCTGTAGTCTCATGATCATTGATCTAAAGTATGGTCCAATTTCAATCATTTAGGATCAATCTTAACAACCTTTACCTTAAGGGTTAGATTTTATACTGCAGGGATTGCCTCCCGTATGTGTATTGATTAGATCATGAACAGTCGTTTTGTGTAGCTGTGACATGCCATCTATGTATAACTATCTAAAAACGAATGTGCTTGCCATATCGAAGTGGGAATTGGCTCAAGGCAATCTGTTGGGATGCAAGATCTCAGGCCTGGTGCTTGTGCTCTAGAATCTAGTATAGTGAATCCTCTAGAATCTAGTATTGTGGAATCCTCTTCAGTTTCTCACCTTGTGTTTCTGGATTCTCTCCCATGATTGATCCAAATTTTTACTTCCGGTTCTCCTACTCATGTATGATACACATTACATTTTTTTCATGTCTAGTTCATGTTGTGTTTCATGATATGTCCTTTATGGGGATATTATAGTGCTTGTGCTGTTTGCAAGTTTTCAATTGGCTGGGATCCTCTTCATAGAGATACCTGTATTTGCATTGCACCTTGCTATTGTCCCTTTTGGTTCCTTTATTGACCATATTTTCATTCTAGAGTGACAAATTTTCCGTTCTGTTAATCAAATAGTTCAAATCAAAGTTTTAATTGTGATCTCGATGTAATAAAGTCATTGACTTGATTGGATAGTGACCGACATGTCGCTGTTTTCTTATCAACAGGCTGTGACAGCAATGGTGCAGCAGGCTATGCAATATGTTGGCCAGACAACTAATCTTGAGACCAAGATAGAGCTTATCAAGACACTTAACTCTGTTGCCCCTGGGAAGGTGAATATGTGTAATCAAACTCTATTACAGCTTATATTCATCATCAATTTGTTTTTGTTTGGTGGTTTCTATAGCTAGTTTTGTCATGCCAGATATATGTCGAAATTGAGAGAGCACGGTTGATCAAGAAACTTGCAAAAATAAAGGAAGAACAGGGTCTTATAGCAGAAGCTACTGATTTGATGCAAGAAATCGGGGTAACTTGAATTTGACTTCTGTTGTCATGTAATTGGTTTTTCCTTGTCGAACATTCCTATGATGGGTTTGAAATGCAGGTAGAAACTTTTGGAGCAATGGCAAGGACGGAGAAAATTGCCTTTATTTTTCAACAAGTACGGGGTTTTTGTATTGCTTTTAGCTGTTTATGCACTGTTACTATTATTGGTTTTCTGATCGATGGATTTTGTAGGTTCGTTTGTGCTTAGATCGCCAGGATTATGTCTGTGCACATATCCTTTCCAGGAAGATCAGCTCCCTGAGTGTTTGATGCAGATCCTTCCAAAGAGAAGAAAAGGCCTAAAGAAGGTGAAAACATTGTCGAACTAGCGCCAGCTGATTTTCCGTCACTTCTGGAGTTGAAATGGATATACTATGACCCGTGACACGGTAAATTTGTGTTTTTCTTTTTCTAATGTTGTGTCCACTGTCTTTTAACTAATTTGTTTCTGCCGATCAAGCGCCACCCGGTGTTCAGGTTGTGGTTCAAACCACGAACTTGTATGGCTTTATATATCTGGCACATACTCTTCTTCCTTTCTAGCTTTATCGCAAACTTTGACGTTCCAGATGTACTGGTAGATTTTAACTCACATCTTAGTTTACCCCACATTTTGTGTTTCATGATGTAGGCATAGGTAATACTCACATAACAATGATTACCTTGAGATTTGTTGATACTATAAGGCGATATATGAGATTCCATCAGTGAAGTGCAACCAGAGCAGTGGATACCGATGAAGTTCTTTCCTTGTTAAGTCTTCACCGAGCTTTTCAAGGTTCACCTGTTCATTCTGTGATTTAATTAAATGCAGGTTCTAAGGAAAATCTGCTGGTACTTAGTTCTATAACCATATGATCCTATGCAGTCAAGCCTTCTTAATGCCACTTTAGAGGATGAACATCTATCAGAAATTCCCCAATTCAGGTACCATCTTTGAATTGTTCTAGGTAATTGGTTGTACATTTTTCAATATCTCAATAATGTGCCATAGAATTTGGTCGACCATGCCTTTGATATTTTAACGCAGGTTGCTGCTGAAACAATTGGTCACAGTGGAGGTTATCCAACGGACTTCTCTTTAAAGTACTGTCAAAGAAGAATTTGAGAATGAGAAAACATGCTAGGAGATGCACTGGTTGAGAAGGCAGCAGAAAATCTTAGACAGGGCCTGATCATTGTCAAAAGAAGAATTTTGGCTTCTCCTGGGCGAGACAAGCTACCTTTAGCTTGGAGCCTCTTCAGAGAATCTTTGAACATGTAATTACAGAACTTGTCGTTTTTCTTCTTTTCATTGGATCACCATTCAGATGTGACTCGCTCTATTTTCTGCATAATATTATCGTTGTTTTGAAGTATTCCTTGAGGATTACCCTAAAGAGACTTGCAGAGCTGTTATGCCTCAGTATCCAGGTCTGATTATGTGGAACATTTATTTATGTTCTTTATCAATGTCACTCTTTATTAATGATTGCCTAGACCCCTCATTTAACCCTGAGAAGCCCCTCTGCCTGTGATCCCTGATTGGGGCATGGTTGCTGGAATTAGATACAAGTTGCCGTGGATTTGAGAATGTTGTCTTCATATTTTTGTTTCGTACACTTGGCTCAGTCAACTTCTGCTCATAAACTTATTGTAGCTGTAAGTGTCATTGTCTGGCATTGTGAAACCATTTCTTGTGCCATGGAGCCTGCAATTCTAATGCGCTTTAGAAGGGGGGGAGGAGCTCTGCTATATTGCTAGATATAGCTGAGCAAGCTTTTCTGCTTGTATTAACACTCACCATTTCCTGTGTTACAAAAGTATATCTCGCTAGAGATCTTGATTAATGTGTTCAGAAAATCTTTGTAGCTAAATCACTCAAGGAAAAGAGCTTTGTTTTTGGGTTCTCTTATTGCTGTTGTTAAGAGCTTAATTCAATCACATGCCTCAATTTATTAAATCAATACTATCATCTGATAGACAGTCCATTTAATGATAATTATACGAGCTTGTATGATATTCTATCAGCATGACCTCTCACTTCTATATTGCCATTCTAGGAAGCTGAGAAGCATCTCTCCTTAATGGTTGTTTCCAAGTCCCTGGTGGCAAAGATAGACTGACCAATGGGAATTGTCGGTTTCCAAACGACGAAGGACCGCAATGAGATTTTGAACTCAGGGGCGACAACTTTGGAAAAGCTGCTTGACCTTGTCGAGAAAAGTTGCCACCAAATCCCCAAGGAAACCACAGTTCATAAAGCTGCTTTGAGAGCTTGAAGATGTTTTTAGTTGAATGAATGATCTCTCTCCCCTTGAGCCTCCCTCTTTCTCTCTCTCACCGAAGAATGCTGTTTCACATTGTGGTCTGAAGTGGGGACTGGAGATATTCACCATAGAACTCTCGTGTAGCTGTCTTGAATTTGATTGCATATTTTGCAGGTGGAACAGATCCGGGCCTTGTTTCGGACTGAAATGATTTACTGAATACACTTTCTATATAGGAACGTAGTTTGGTCTTTTCAGCTTTCTTCTTTCCTCTTTACCCCCTCCTTTTAATTGAAGATTTGTGGGCTTTAAGGGTCCAGAACTTGTACCAATGGGAAACGTATCAGCACATGCACTCATTTGGATTGAAATAAGCGCCTTGTTACAGAATTGTGTTTCGCATTGCAAATATTGTCGATGCGTGTTTTTCTAACAGCGGGGATAACATTAGCTCTCTAAAGAGTAAAGGTTTAACGAATGCTACTTTTCCATTTCATTTCACATCCGAAATGGGCGCTTGTTTCTAGGGAGCTTCATTTCAATAAGAAAACTGTACTTTTTATTTCCTCAAATGACGTTATTTTTCTCCAAGTTGATACTTGCTACGGCGTCGACCTTGTCCTATAGATTTCCAGTTCCATCTTTTTCTTTATGGAAACTGAAAAGATTGGGAAAAGCTGTGGTCACGACAACTTTTGACTGTGGAAATAGTTATGCCCACTAAGCACAAAGCACAATTTCTATGGCGAAAAGCACAACTTTCTTCACAAAAGTAAATGTATTTATCATTTTATTAAAGAACACGATCGTAACTTACTTAGCATAAGTTAGACAAAGAAAATTAGTAATTTTCAATGTACTAACCTTTCTTGTTATATGTGCCGTCAATACTTTGGAAATTACATCAATCATCATAAGATACACTTGAAAGTCATTCTTGAGGTCCTCATTAGCATGATCAATTATTTATGAGAAGTAAATTGTTTTTTTCTTAAAAATTTAGTTTTAGTTTAAAGGGACCAGAAACATGTTTTAGTGTAATTGTCAACGCCTTATTTGTAGTGTAGGAAAAATTCGACATAACGCAAAAAATCAATTTTTCGGCCATTATTTGACGATCTCTTTTCGCCACTTACTAAAACCAATTAAAATTTTGAAAAAGAAAAAAAAAAACAACTGCTATAAAAGCATTCAAAACATTTTGTTGGACAAAAATTAACGTAAGAAAAGGTTTATCATGTTCATTACAGTAATGGTGGATCATATGCTTCATGAAGAAACCGCCATTAATTATAGTCCACAATTTTCGCCCGATTGGAGTGGTACCAATTCGAAAACCCTAATTCATTTTCCCTTTTCTTGTTTTTTCTTTACAGAACATTAAATCCCATCTTCCTTTTTTCTTTTTAGGGAAAAAACCACCAAAAACCCCAAACTTTGCCATCTGTGACACATTTACCCCAAACTTTTTTTTGTGACACCAAAAACCCCGAACTTTCTTTTTGTGACACATTTACCCCAATGTATTTAGTCCATGGGCATTTTTGTCTTTTTGCTTTTTCTTTTTTTTTTTTTTTTTTTCCTTTCCGGCGAGGGCCTCGCCGGCGTCGGCGAGGGCGCCCATCGCCGGATCCGGCGAGGGGCCCTCGCCGGCGTCAGCGAGGGCGCCCATCGCCGGATCCGGCGAGGGGGCCCTCGCCGGCGTCAGCGAGGGCGGCCTCGCCGGATCCGGCGATGGGCGACCTCTCGCCGGCGTCAGCGGCCCTCGCCGGCGTCGGGCGAGGTTCGCCCTCGCACGGGCGGCGAGGGCGGCCCTCGCCCGACTCGAGCGAGGTCGACCCTCGCCGGCGTGGGCGAGGTCGACCTCGCTGAGTCGGGCGAGGGCGCCCTCGCCGGCGTCGCGGCAAGGTCCGCTCGCCGGGCGAGCGAGGGCGGCCCTCGCCGTCTGGCGAGGTCGACCCTCGCCGGCGTCGGCGAGGGTCGCCCTCGCTGGGCAGCGAGGCGGCCCTCGCCGTCTGGCGAGGTCGACCTCGCTTGGGCGAGCGAGGGTCGACCTCGCTGGAGTCGGGCGGGGCGCCTCGCTCGCCCAGCGAGGCGACCCTCGCCGTCGGCGACCCTCGCTCGGCGCGGCGAGGGTCGACCTCGCCCGGATCGGGCGAGGGCCGCCCTCGCCAGACTCGAGCGAGGTCGACCCTCGCTCGCCCGAGCGAGGCGGACCTTGCGGCGACAGCCGGCGAGGCGCCTCGCTCGACTCGGCGAGGTCGACCCTCGCCCCACGCCGCGAGGGTCGACCTCGCCGACGCCGGCGAGGGCCGCCCTCGCCGGATCGGCGAGGGCCGCCTCGCTCGGCAGCGGCGAGGCCCCCACGGAAAGGAAAAAAAAAAAAAAAAAAGAAAAAGCAAAAAAGACGAAAATGCCCATGGACTAAATACATTGGGGTAAATGTGTCACAAAAAGTAAAGTTCGGGATTTTTGGCGTCACAAAAAAAAGTTCAGGGTAAATGTGTTACAGATGGCAAAGTTTGGGGTTTTTGGTGGTTTTTTCCCTTCTTTTTATACAATTCCTCCGTTTTCAATTGCTTTTTCTTTTTTTTTACTTTTCCATCCTATGTATGGTCATTTTAAAGGGGCCGACATTACAAGTCAGCATTTTGACAATTCACATCAATAACGTGATAAATTTTAAAAAGTAGAGATAGCCTTTGAAGAAAAAAAAGGACAAGAAAGTCGAGGGACTAAAGGCGATATTAGCCCTTCTTTTAATTGAAAATTTATGTTCTTATTTTTTGGTATTACGCGAATCGTTCCCCTATAAAGTATAGAGGACTCTTGCCCTTTTCCCACTTTCCCAGGATCTCAGTTGGAGTTGTTGTTGGGTTGAAATCAATCCAGACAAAGAACGGCCCAAATGGCGAAATCGGAGTAGTGTTGTTACGCTTTCTTCATCCAAAGCTCGAGGTATTCGTGCCATTTCTTGGAGACCGTTGCCTCTTGTTCAAACCGGAGTAGTGTTGTCTTCAACTCATAACCATCACCGTCTTCTTCAGCCACTGAAAGATGGTCGAGCCAAGTCCCCAAGATCCCGAAGCTCCACAACAATGGCGTCGTGGTGGTCGTCGCCAGGGAGCCGCTCTCTCCCTGCTTAGAGGGTAGAAGCTCTCCTGGAAGGCCGTCTTGCCTTCGCAAGCGTCCCCTCTCTCCGGGCGGGCTACGATCTTTCGAGGCGAAAAACGTGGCCGTAAATTTTACTTTCCTTAGAGTCTCAAATTCGGTCCTTGTTGAGAAGTTGCGATGGTTTCTGAAGGTGGGTTTCTTCGTTTGTGGATTAAAAACAATTGCGGCTGCGACGAAAGTGCCGGGGAGAGGATAAGCGCTCGTCCCTACCGATCTGAGCATCACAATGCCCTAAGGCACATTTGCTCAAATAGGTAATGTGCAACTTCTTACCTCAAAAGATTCTTTCAATACCTTGTTTTGGATAATCGATCAGGGCTGAATCAAATCGCTTGTACATTTGTTGCTTCAGCATCAGGATCAGGTTTGGCATGCAAGCATTCGATCAATGTCGGTGCGGGTGTGATCGATGCGGACTACAGAGGCCCGATTGGGGTAATCCTGTTCAAACCACTCGGCCGTCTACTTTGAAGTGAAGGTGGGCGACAGGATTGCGCAGCTGATCATTGAGAAGATCATGACTCCCGATGTTGCGGAGGTCAAGGACCTGGACTTGACTCTGAGAGGCACGGGCGGGATTGGGTCGACAGGGGTGCGAGGCTCGTGTGCTAGGTTTCGGCCATCGACTTTGTTCTCTATAAGTTTATTTTCATTGGGTTTTAGGTTGTGCCTGGGATACATGCAGGTCTGGCAGGCGGATTATCTTGGTTCGAAATCTCGTCGAACTCTTGGTTCGTAAGTATTTGCTAATTGCTATGTGCTCAGTCACGCTTTTGAAGTATCTCCTTGTGCTCAGTCTCTCTCCGTTTAATTGTGTAATTTGGGTCCCACTTTTCGAGTTGCCAGTTTGTGTGATGAAGCCTTACGATTTATTCTTTGTTGTGCACTCATTGTCCTCCATCAAATCTCTGTATCAGTTAAACTTTTTTGCTTTGTTTCAGTAGGTCTGCACAAGGTATATTACAGAAGCTGCATGATTTGATATTTATCTGTATTGTCCTTTTAGTATAACTAAGGCCAAATGTTTTGGCATTTTCCCAGGCATTTCATTTTGGGAAAATGATAAAAAAGCTGAAATCTTGCGCCTTGGTTATGTAAGTAGAGAGTTAATTCGATATTGTTTTTATCATATACAACTAGTGGAGAATGCTCACTTGTTATATTCTGCATACAAACCCGTTCCATTATGGGGTACCTCCCATTTCAGGGATCGAATGCACACATTAGCCCCTGCAATTGGGTGGACAAACAGAGTTTTACCCTTTCCTAAATTACTGGCGTAGAGTCTTCAAAGTGATGGCATGAGTTCTAACGTTATTGTCTTTACTTAACTGCAAATACATCCCTTGACTTTTTCATGTCAGCTGCTGAGTCACTCCTATCCTTCTCATTTTTGCAATTAACACTTCAACCTTTTAAGTGGTTGAAAATCATCTCCAAGACTGCTGTCCATCCAAAACGGCTCATTTTAATAATCTTCTCCTTTCGTGTGACATGAGCCTTGCGGCAAGTAATTAGCAGTGTAGCACAGTGCCATTACCTTGTGTACTTCTTTCATCCTTCTGTCTTCCTTCTTTTTACTGCCGTCATCTGGCTTTGCATTCGCTTTGTTCTCTTCTTTACTTTTGCCCCAGATTCTTCTCTAGTTAACGTTCTCAAGAGGTACGAGAGCTTCTTCAGTGATGTGGTTCTGTTGTGGGGATGCTCGTGCTTTTGTTTTCTACTTTTGAGCTCATTCTCCCTTTTCAAGATAACATACAGGTGTCAATACCGAAATAAAGATTAAGAATCTATCATTTTAGACCTTAGTTTTCTGTAGAGTCTTATGATCATCAGTCCAAATTATGGTCCGATATCAATAATTTGAGATCGATCTTAACAACCTTTACCTCGAGGGTTAGATTTATATGTACTTATACTGCATGGTTTGCCTCCCATATGTATACCGATTAGATCGTGAACTGTCATTTTGTGTAGCTGTGACATACCATCGACATATAACTATCTGGAAAATGAATCTCCTTGGAATATCTATATGGGAATTGGCTCTAGGCAATCTGTAGAGATGCAAGATCTCTGGCCTGGTGCTTGTGCTCTAGAATCTAGTATGGTGGAATCCTCTTCTATTTCTCACCTTCTGTCCTTGGATTTTTCCCCATGATTGCCCCAAATTTTTAGTTCTTGTCTACTCACGTATAAATCACGTAACTTTTTTTACATGTCTAGTTCAGGATACGTTTCATGATTTGTCCTTTGTGGGGATATTTATGTGCTTGTGCTATTTGCAAGTTTTCAATTGGCTGGGATCCTCTTGATAGAGATACTGTATTTGTATTGCACCTTGCCATTATCCTTTGCGGTTCTTTTTTGACTATATTTTCATTCTATAGTGAAAAATTTTCAGTGCTGTTAATCAAATAGTTTAACTCAGTTTTAATTGTGCTCTCGACATTTATCGGATGGTGACATACGTGTTGCTATTTTCTTATCGACAGGCTTTGACAGCAATGGTGCAGCAAACTATGCAATATATTGACCCGACACCTGATCGTGAGACCAAGATAGAGCTTATCAAGACACTTAACTCTGTTGCCGCTGGGAAGGTGAATATGTGAAATCAAACTTCATTGCAGCTTATGTTAATGAGCAATCTGTTTTTATTTCGTGGTTTCTATAGCCCATTTCATTTTGCAGATATATGTCAAAATTGAGAGAGCCCGGTTTAGCAAGAAACTTGCAAAAAAAAAAAAAAGAGGAAGAACAGGGTCTTATAGCAGAAGCCGCTGATTTGATGCAATGAATTGCAGTACCTAGAAGTTGACTTTTGTTGTCACTGATCTTGTAATTGATTTTTCCTTGTCCGACATTCCTATGATGGGTTTGAATTGCAGGAAGAAACTTTTTAAGCAATTGCAAAGACGGAGAAAATTGCCTTTATCCTCGAACAAGTAGGGGTTTTTGGTATTGCTTTTAGCCGTTTATGCACTATTACTATGATTGGTTTCTTGATCGACGGATTTTGCAAGTTCATTTGTCCTTAAATTGCCAGGATTATGTCTGTGCACAGATTGCCAGGATTATGTCTGTGCACAGATCCTTTCCAGGATTAGCCGTTTATGCACTATTACTATGATTGGTATCCTGATAGATGGGTTTTACAGGTTCATTTGTGCTTAGATTGCCACAATTATGTCCATGCACAGATTTTATTCAATGAATAAAGGCTATTTTAATTTCTTCTCTTGGTCAATTAAATACAGCCAGATTTTAAAAATCGTTGTTGCCTGCTTGCCCCTATTGGAATTTGATTCCCCTTCGAGAAGGACTCTTATGTAACACTTATGTGCCATTTTGCATGAACCAACCCGAATTAATATTCAATGAAGGCAATTTTCCTTGTTCATATCGCCAATCTACATTTATACAATGTTCATGCAGATACGAGGAATATATTATAATCCGAGTTAGTTAGCATATATTAAGAATTTAATTAACTCGAGGCCTTATTTGGGTAAACGGTCTTATGGGAAAAAAGCAAGGCCGCCCTATATTCCATCCTTCCATAGTTATGCTTCGATTTTCCAGCGGTACTGCCTTAATGCTTTATTTGGGAAGGAGGAGAAGAGGAGGAAAATGAAGTAAATTTTTGTAACTTTCGTGAGAAGAAGTGGGAGGAAAAATTCAAAATTTTTCTCTCCTCCTTTCCTCCATGTATCCAAGCAAAGCAGCTTTTCCTTTATCACGGCGGTGCATGCTTGCTAAGTAGACCACAAGCATAGGGCAATTTATGTGTCGTTGCTAGCATAGGGGTCATCATCAATTGGAATAAACTAAACATTAATTTCATTCATCAAATGTATGGAACTTCACTTGACGTCCAATTCATGTGCATCGGCCATTATCCACAAGATGCTCCGATGAACAATTGATGTGTCAGTTTATGTGGCAAAACATGCCATGGAGGCAAACATGTGAAGTTGGTCCTTGAAAGGCTGAGGTGTTGCGCGACCTAGCAAATCCAGATACTATCTGTTTCCCTCGTCCTCCAGCTTGTGCTGTCTATTTTTTTTATTTTCAAGAGAAGGAGGATCCGATGGCACAAAGGAGATTATAGACCAACAAATAGACTAGTTTAAGAAAGAAAGGGATTCTACCACACACACAGCTTGCTTTGAAACTAAGAGGAATAATAAGGAGAGGGGGTACCGATGGCCATGTGAGCTTCAAGTTTCCAATTAGTGCATATTTAAAGTGCTTGGCCTTTTGGGCCTGGAATTTTCTATTTTTTCGTGGATTATCTTTTTGCAGGTCTGAGCCGACAGTTTTTGTATTCTCGTGAACGTTGGAGAATCATCACATTCAGTCCCCCACATTCATAAAGCGGAGTAATGGGAGCACAGCAATTATTGGTGGATGAGGTGACGAGAGTTTCAAGGAAGCTCCATCGAAAACCCGTGGGAAATTTCTTGCATCTTATGGGAGCAAATTCATGGTCACTTCATGACCCTTTCTGGCATGATTTGCCAAGTGATTTTTGTGGACAATGTCATGAAATTGAAACTGAAACCAGCTGAATGTATAACATTTGAAAAAACGTAGCACCTAAATAGATCTGCCATCATCCAAAAGAAACCAAACATTCATTTCATCATTTAAATGGGCAACGCAAGAAAATAATTTCGCTAGCGGGGTTTACACACAACGACATACATGCAATTTAACAACCGGTGTTTAGGCAATGACCCATATTCGATTTTTACTTTTAGCAAGCATTTCCATTCCATATATAAAGTGATATTCTACTTGTTCATGTAAACATCTATCTAGATATAGTTGCGATTTCTTTACGTAAAAATCCTCTTATGAAAATCTCAAAAGTCCATCCTAACCGTCTGATATGGGACCAGTTGCGAACAAATTCCCAGAATGGATTGATCAACAAATGAATAAAGTTTAGCCTGACATTTATCAAAGTGAATAGATGAAAGGTCGGCCAGCTACGAGCGAGAGCTATAAACAGTCTAGCATAAATTATGTCTGGCACGGATTTTTCATAGGAGCGGAACGGGTTTCAATTATAGGTACAGGTAAGAGCAGATGCTCTAAATGCATTTGTCCAAGTCTTTAATTTATTTGACCCAAAAAAAAAGTCTTTAATTTAGTTTTGGAAATGTTCATGTTGATCCTCCACAACCTCTACCGAAATTCACTACTAAATTCCATAGATTCGCTGCTCAGTCTCACCAATTCCCCAAACTCCTTGCCCAGCTTGTGCTTCACCTCACATTCCCCTTCCGTTTTAGCATGCAGCAACGTTATCTTGGTGTCATGCTCGCTTCACCTTCCCATTACAATTCCCCGAAGATTCCATTTATTAATGGAAAAGCAAGTCAAGCCGTACTGGAACTCCAATTTCAATCAAAGCACCAGCGTAGGTTGCACGCAGTGGCACCTTCCGCTTAATGCTGACGAAATTACGCGTGCAATAACTCAGCATATTTCAAGCAGTCGGCATCGTTCAAGCGCGCACAGTCGAAAAAGCAAAGACTTTTCTTTTTTTTTGGTCCGTAGAAAAAGCAAGGACTCGGAGCATCTTTATTGCAAGTTGGTTTTCTTTTCTACTTTTTTGTTAAAAGGAAAAGCAAGTCAAGTCAAGAAGCCCTTGCATAGCTTCCCCGCAACTTCCGCATAATGCTGCGAATATTACGCGTGCAATAACTCCGCATTCTTTAAGCAGTCGGCAAACATCATTGTTCAAGCACGCACAGTAGAGAGTGTTGTGTGTTGGTAATCCAACGTCCAAGGCTGAGGATCGGGAGAGATCCCAGCAGTGGGTGGCTTGTGTTGTTTGAACACTCCTCAGGTAGTTGACGACTCCTTGCCCTTGTCCGTTTCCTACTTTGATTGCTCCTTTTTTTCTGATGACTTGTCTGAGAGTTTCTATTGTTGTTTGAATGTAGATCTGAGTTTCAGTCCTGCGAGACATTTCTGCTATTCCCAGATCTGGGAATCCATATATCTCCCCTCTGTTTCCTTCTCCATCAATTTCTTTTACAATCCTCTCAGAGATGACAAGAAAAGAACCCACTCATTCAGAATATCCAACCCACGAGCCCCCTTCCTCATCGACCTCTCCACATGTAGGTGATTATGAAGGCAAAACCAAAAGGCCGAAGGGAAATGATTACGAAGTGTTCTTGAGCTTTAGAGGGGAAGACACTCGCAAAGGCTTCACCGATCATCTCTATCATAACCTTGACCATGCAGGAATTCGCGTGTTCAGAGACGACAATGAACTCCGTGTTGGTGAGGAGATTAGTTCAGAGCTTCTCTGCAGTATTACGAATTCTAAGATCTCGATTCCGATTATTTCGGAGAACTACGCTTCAAGCAAATGGTGCCTTCGCGAGCTGGCTGAGATGTTAAAGTGCAAGAGAAGTAAAGGGCAGATAGTGTTGCCCATATTTTACAAAGTGGAACCCTCACAGGTGCGATATCCTACTGGGAGATCAAGAGATGCTATCAACGCACATAAAAAGAATACGGACGAAATGATTGTGAAGAAATGGGAAGAAGCACTCAAAGAAGTTAGCTCCTTGAAAGGATGGGTATCGGAGAAAATTGATAACGGGTATCTTATACTCCAACAAAAAAATTGTTTAATTTTTCATAAATAGATCTTTCTTGAAAAGAATGTACATATTGCTATCCTATACTGATCTTAATTGTAATTTGACAGGCATGAAGGAACATTGGTTGAAATTGTTGTCAAAAAAGTTATGGGCGAGCTAAAAAGACTTTTTCAGCTAAATGTCCCTGAACAGTTGGTGGGAATTGATGATCATGTGCAAGTGATTATGAGCAAGATAGATGTTGAATTCAAGGGTACAATGATTATTGGAATTTATGGAATGGGCGGCATCGGTAAGACAACTCTTGCAAAAGTGTTATACAACAGACTCTCTAGTTATTTTCGTTGTCGTAGCTTCGTGGCAAATATCCGAGAAACATCTCGGCGTAAGGGTATTGAATGCATACAAAAGCAGCTTATTTCTGACATAATAAGAATTTCGTATGATGTGTCTAATATCGATGAAGGAGTCAGTGTCATCAAATCTAATTTTACGAGTAAGAAAGTCCTAATTCTTTTGGATGATATGGATGATACTACTCACTCGAATGCTTTGGTCGGGGATGGTAGTTGGTTTGAAGCGGGAAGTATAGTCATCATCACAACTAGAAACCAAAGCATTCTCGATGAAGGTTGGGCGGGCTACATGTACCAACTCAACGAGTTGTCGTTGGATCAATCATTGATTTTATTTAGTAGACATGCATTTCGAAAGGATTCTCCTCCGAGTGATTACGAGGATAACTCTCGTGATATCGTATCTACTACTGGGGGGCTTCCATTAGCTATTGAAGTTATAGGTTCATTCTTGTACGGAAAGAAACAAGGAGCATGGGAAGATACATCAAAGAAATTAAGGAAAGTGCCTAATAAGAAAGTGCAAGAGACGTTGAAGATAAGTTACGACGCATTAGATCTTGAGGACCAACAGATATTTTTGGATATTGCATGTTTTTTTATTGGATCATCTCAACAAGGTCCAACTTATATGTGGGATGCTTGTGATTTCTTCCCTGGGACGGGGATCGAAGTATTGAGTCTTATGTCCCTAATTAAAATTGATGAAGAAGGCAAGCTAATGATGCATGATCAACTGAGAGATCTTGGAAGGGAAATTATTCGTCTAGAAAATCCAAATGAGCCTCAAGAGCGTAGCAGATTGTGGATTTATAAGGAAGCCCTAGATGTGCTTGACAACAACAAGGTAAGAGTTTTCTATACTTGTTTCGGTCAATGATGTAGGTCCATCTTCCCTTTCTTGTTTGAAATAAAAATAATTATTAGTCTTATATCCCCTAAACTTGCTGCTTCTACTAGCAAAAGAGTTTTTTTGATTAATTGTTGTTTTTGCCTAATTCTAGAACATAATTGAAGAGCAATTTCTTGTTTATGGATGATTAATATATCTTTACCTGGTAGTATTGTGATGAGGATGCTCTTCTTTTGATAACTTCAATGCAACGATAAAAACTACAAAAACAGAATGTTTGACATAGTACTTTCAGAGAAAAACTGACATTTATAAAATGTAGCGGGCATGCATTTCCCACATATTTTCTTGCTGTCTGCGTTTGATATTTGGATTCGTCTTCTGATTTCTTGTGAGGTCTTTTATTTCTTTCTTCTTTTACTACGTATTGACTTCTTTTAAGTTGTTTGATATGATCAATGAGACATCCATTCATTTGTGATGATTTAGCTATCTTGGTTCCTATATTTGTTAAGTTGGGTTGAGTGTATCCCCTTAGTATTATTGGTTGTGCAATTTAGTCCCCCATCTATTTTTGTTTTTGCTCAATATAGTCCTTTAACTTTTACTTTTACTTTTTTTGCAATCGAGCCTTTGTGGTCAATCGCTAGTTGACATCGTCAATTTGTTGATGTGGCGTTCGTATTAATTTATGATATATGAGCAACCATGTAATATAACCCTTTAGATATATATATTATTTTCATTGCATGGACTTTTCATGATAGTGGATAGTTTCTTTCTATTAATATGCTAATACTTTTTTATTTTTGTGATGATGGATGATTTTTCTATTAATCCCCCGATATTATTTATTGTTAAATATAAGCTATCGTGAAATTATACTTATTTGTTTATTGTTCAACTCTTAGTGAGCATCTTATTTAGCAAAGATTTAGTTAACATGTATACCATTATCTTATTTTTGTGAAATGATAATTAATTTGGGGTATATGTGACTAGGGTATACTAGTTTGGGATTTTTATGGCATGAAAATTAGTATGTGGTAAATGTGGAAGAAGTCTACCAATTTAGGATTTTGGGTATTATTAAACAAGTAAATATGATTTTGAATTTTGTGTGATGATAAATTTTCATTCTTAGCATGAAAGTTAAAAGGTGATCCACTAAAAGCAATTATAACAAATGGATGATTTGTACAATCATCAAACAAGCATGTGCAAATGTCATGAGTATCACTAGTTATAAATGTTGGGATGCAAAACATAATGAAACGACAGGACCATAGAAAAAAATGCTACCAATGCTTTCCTGCGAGCATATTTTTGCATGAATGAAAATGTAATCAACTAAATAGAACACTGGTTATAAGTGAAAAAAGAAGAAGGTATCTATGAAGTTGTTGACAGAAATACAATAAAAATACAAGAAACTTTTAATGTGAAAACAAGTAGCGTCTCATTTGAAAGAATAAAAGTTCGAAGGAAAAGTTGAAACCGCCAAACAAGTCTGTATTATTGACTCTCATTATTTGCGCTCAATGTGAAATTCGTCACCTAAAACAAAAAACGAATTTGAGTTCCTAAAATATTAGGTTACAACAAAAGAAAAATGTAAAAGACTAGAGTTCCTTAAGAATACAATTGTATCAATCTTTATGTCCAATCTGTTCATACGGAAGATCTCATTAATCTATGGGACAATTGATCAAAATTTAGATGACTACTACTACACTGTAACAAAATCAACACGACAATGAAAAGATAGCGTCAAACATCTATAGTAATAAAAAGAAAGTAAGAATCATGTATAGAACATTCAATATTATCAATTTTCCTTCCACGTACAATACAAAACCCTCAATGATGAAACACGTGATAAGAAAGGAACGTAAAACACATGCATACCTTTTGCGATGACATTCTCGTTTTCATTTTGATATTTAGAATTACAAACGAAATATACCAGAAAGAGTGGGGGCATTTTACAATTGGGATTCTTTAATTTTGATACATGTTTTGATGGCAGGTTTAATGGATGTATTTTGACTGTTAGAGTCATATTGGTTCACATATACAGGATAGGAGTAAACGTAGTGTTATTACATATATAAATGGCATGAATTTTCATAGATATATTTGATTTAGTGTATGTATGAAGAGAGGCCTTCTATTATAATTGCAAATGGATGCAAATTTTGGGCATTCAGAAGGTGCAAATTGCAAAGGGCATAATTGGAAGAGGAAAAAGTTCAGGAAAAACCGCTTGAGCTTCACATCTTTACATAGATTAGATAAATAGTATGCAACTGCAACCTTTCATTTCACAAAATTTAAAGGAGAAGCCTACGCCATAGTAGTATGATAGCAAATTGAAATCAGTGCATTTTATTTTACATCAGTTGATCTCATCTCATTATTTAAAACTTATGGTCCACAATGTTTCCAAGTTGCAGGGCACTAGAAAGATTGAGGCACTTTCTCTTGGCAAATGTGGTATAGGAAGAAGATACACAGCTAAACAATTTAAAGAAATGACCAACTTGAGGTTCCTTATAGCGGATGGTGTGAATTTCACCGGAGATTTCCAAAGCTTACTTCCTAAATTAAGATGGCTTCAGTGGGTGGGTTGTCCCTCGGATTTTGTTGCGACCAACTTTCATCCAAAAAAATTAGTTGTACTCGATTTGTCAAACAGTGCAATTTCGGAGGATTGGGGAGGATGGGTTCAACTCAAGGTAAGATATAAAGAAGGCATTGAAGTATTTTCAATATAATTTTTTTTCCTTGTACATATAACATTTGAAAATTGATTTTCATAATTAAACTAGTCGTTTCTCTTTAATCTCATACTATTGAAGGAATACATGGCGCCCAATGAATGCATCTCTCTTCCATGTGAATTAGTCATCTGCTACTTGATAATAAAAGTTGCTTCTATTTAATCAGTAAACATTTCCTTTGAAATGTTATTCAGAAATATATGTAGTCGGCACTTGTATATCCCCAACATTCTTTTGCAATTGATATGCTTAAAAAATATTTATATGTTGGCATAGCCAAACACTACTAAAAGAGACATTTAAAATTAAATAAGACAACCGTGAAGGAGTCGGGGAGCATGGGTATTTTTTGAGGAATTCTAAAAAGTCAAAAACATAAGGAGTAGTGAAAAATCACAGGCTGCCAGAGTCCAATGACATTGGGGTACCATTTCTTTTTTTCAGATGGCAACCAAGCTCAAAGTTCTCAACCTCAAGAATTGTTTATCTTTGAAAAGAACTCCCAACTTGTCCGTTTTCGAAAGCTTGGAGATTTTGATTCTTGCAGATTGTCGAAATTTGAAAATGATTCATCCTTCTATTGGGAACATCAAAACCCTCATTTCCTTAGATGTCTCTTATTGTAAAAGACTCAAGGAGCTACCGGCAGGAATAGGTAGAATGGTAAAATTGAGGGAGCTTTGCATAAATGACACTGATATACAAGAGATTCCTATTTCGAGAGGTTGTTTGATGGAGCTGGAGACTCTATGTGTCGGATGTTGTAAACGACTTTCTCAACTTCCTAAATCTATGGACTCCCTTGTCTCATTAACTCTATTGGACTTATCTGATTCAGTAATTGAAGAATTACCTGAATCTATTGGTTCCATGAAGAAGCTCGAAACTTTGAATGCCTCTAAATGTAGACTGTTAGCTCGCATACCCAACTCCATAGGCAATCTAGCATCCCTACAAAGCTTGTTCTTACATGCCTGCTCCTCATTGACAGAGATCCCTAACTCGATTAGAAAATTGGCATCATTGACCGAGCTAGACTTAAGATGCACATCGATTACAAAATTACCTGAAAGCATTGGGAATATGCCAAATTTGAGGATCTTGGACATAAGTGGAGCTGACATAAAGGAATTGCCCGATGCCATTGGGAAGTTGGCAAAACTCCAAAGGTTGGACGCCGTCCTATGCAAAAATCTAGAACGACTACCTAGTAATATATGCGAATTGGTTTCCCTGGAGGAGCTTTCTTTAGGATGTTCTGGCATTTCGGGCTTGCCAGAAAGCATTTCTAAGCTCTCTTCTCTCCAAAAGCTCAGCGTTGGAAATTGTGAAAAGCTCCAAAAATTACCAGAACTGCCCTCTGACTTAACAACTCTAACGATCACCTGCCAGAGTCCGTCGTTGCCCAATCTTTCCCAGCTATCCCGTCTCAAGACACTCACTCTTTGTAATTGCCCTTGGCTTGAACATGTCCCAGAACTTCCCATTGGACTATCGGTGCTTAGAATTGAAAGTTGTGGAAAATTGAAAGCGTTCACAAATGTGTCAAACTTGAAGCACTTATCAGATTTGAGTCTCTACGAGTGCTTTGATCTCACAGAAATCACCAGCTTGGAAGGTTCACATTGCCTATCCAACTTACCCACAAGGCAATGCCCTAAGATATCTGGGGTTGATGGGATTGAAGATTCTTCGAAGTTGATGAGCCCAAAGGCATCTCAGCTCGATGGATTGCTAGATCTTTCCAATTCAAAGATTCTACAGAGAATAGACGCCGCAGCAAGTTGCGCGAATTCAACTGAAATTCAAAATCTTGGTGGATCAAAATCCTCTCAAGTGTCGGATATCCTTAAGTGCACGTCCGCTGGACGATTGCTAGACTTTTCCAGTTTTAAATACATGAGTAGGCTTTATGTTTGGAGATGCAATAGTATAACTGAACTTCAAGGCCTCGATGGATCAGAATCCTTGACATTTTTTAGTATTGGCGAGTGCTCTTCCCTTAGATCGGTGGACCTCTCGAACATAAAGAATCTGCAGTATTTTATATCCATACGTTGCGAAAATTTAGTTGAAATTCGAGGGCTCGAGGGATTAGGACCCTCGCTAGTTTTCGATATTTATGGATGTCCGTCTCTTAGAGAATCACCGGACCTGTTGCGTTTAAAGGCGTTGGCGACGGAGGAGCAGATTAGACGGGAGTCCCGCTGGTGGTGAGGGAGATGGGAGGTCGGTTGTCGTCTGGGCCAGTGGGGGGGGGAGAGAGTTATCACAGACAGAAGGTGTTTCGGATCTCCTCCCCATTTTCCTCTTCCCATCCGTTAGAGGGATGTTTTCGCGAGAATGGAAGAAGAGCAAATGTTTTCGCGACTGAGGGAGAGGGGTTCACCGAGTCCTCAGCTTCCTCTCTCCATTTTTTCCTTCCCCCTCAGGGGGCTCCGAAGCGATGGTTGCTCGCAGACTTTTTGCCCGATTCCTCGAGCTCGAATTCCGATTTCCAGAACTAGATTGAGATGGTTAGTTCTTCTTCTTTTGATTGATGCTTGATTCGCCTGGTTACTTCTTCTTCTCCTCCTACTCCTCCTTCTTCTTCTTGAATGATGGAAGGTTGGGGTTGATGATGTTCCTGTGGAAGTTTAACGGTAGCGCCTGTGTTGTGTATGTATACAAAGAAAATTATGTCAAAGAAGCAAAGGGACTAGCATCAGCCTGGCGGATATCCTTTCTGGCAGGGTGCTTGTATTTACTGATGAAGTGAAAATTGATTGATGTCGACGAGTCTTCTTGAATGAGGATTGCTTCATAATACTAACTCAGGGATTGATGTTTGTCTACTCACACACAAACTAATATACAATCAATCAAATATGAACTATGAGTATGGGTTGTACCTTTCCATTCTGAGGAGTTTCTCCCTTGCATGAACACAGAATGTGTGACGTTTGCTGGTGGCGAAAGGAATATTAAAAAAGCGGGAGGCAAGATTATTGTGCTCGGTTGTCTGCCTAGTTCTTGGGGTATGAACTTTTGTCTTCCCAGCTCAAAGCACTCTTTGCCTTCCTCTTCAAATGATGTAAAGGAGTCAAAGTTATTTGATGACACTGTTACTTGGATATTCATATATGTTAAATTGTTTTTCCTGTATTTAGTTGCTCCCAAACATTCATGTAATAAAAAGAAGTATCTTACACTCCTTTGCTAGGACTGAATGGGGTCAACGAGGTTAACCTATGTCCAAGTATTTGCCTTTTCATCTCTGCTTTTTGGGTGATAAGCTGGTGGAATTTCCACTCTTCATTGATGGTACATCATTGTTATGCTATGCTGAATGCTGATAAGTTCCTCTGGATTAGTCAGAGCATTATGACTAGTGGCTATTAATTATACCTATGCAAGATTTTTACCTTGAAATTCGTTTTTAGGATTTCTATCTGTATAGGTGCAATTAAAAAGATGGAAATTGGTCACATCAAAAATCATTCCCAGTTGGGATCAGTAGGAGGATCATTGGATCCATAAAGTTAACCCTGATTAGCAGGTTGGCCTTTAGATTTTGTTTTAGATGTACTACGGGTCACGCACAATGAGAACTGGGGCCTAATTTGGTTTCCTATGAGATTGAGTCCTAATTAAATAGACAAAGTAGGATATTTGGGACTGGGATTAGGAATCCCATTCTACTTCTGAAACAATATTCAAAGGCCAAACCTGCTAATTAGGGCTAACTTTGGGGATTGAACTATAAGGGGATTATAAATGAGAATGAGGTGTTGCCCTCATCCTGAATTAGATTGTATGGAAGATTTAATTGGTGGTCGTGGCAAGGCTGAACATACTTTCTATACAGACTTGGGGGAATCCTTAAGCTTTCTGCTGGAGTAAGAATAACCTTTTATTGCTGGAGTTGGAAGTGGGCTCTACCTTCATAAAAGCTTGGGTTGGGGTAAATGGAAGGTCTGCTGTGCCTCCACAAACAGCAGTGCAGCACAATGCCAACACCTTTGTATGGCAACCATCTCTTCTGGCTGGGGACGGAATTCTTTTTTACGTAATAGCATATATCTCTTTACCTTGACTATTTCTTTCATCCTCCTGTCATCTTCTTTACACTGTTATCATCTGGATTTGCATTTGTTTTATTCTCTACTTAACTTTTGCCCTGGATTCTTCTCTAGTTAACTTTCTTTAAGAGGTATGAGAGCTTCTTCACTGATGTGCTTCTGCTGTGGTGATGCTCGTGCTTTTGTCTTCCACTTTTGAACTTCATTCCCTCTTTTCGAAGATAACACACAGGTGTTAGTACAGAAAAAAGATTAAGTATCTATCACTTTAGGCCTTAATTTTCTGTAGTCTTATGATCATTGATTCAAAGTATGGTCCAATTTCAATCATTTAGGATCAATCTTAACAACCTTTACCTTAAGGGTTAGATTTTATACTGCAGGGATTGCTTCCCATATGTGTACTGATTAGATCATGAACTGTCGTTTTGTGTAGCTGTGACATGCCATCTATGTATAACTATCTAAAAAACGAATGTGCTTGCCATATCGACGTGAGAATTGGCTCTAGGCAATCTCTTGGGATGCAAGATCTCAGGCCTGGTGCTTGTGCTCCAGAATCTAGTATGGTGGAATCCTCTAGAATCTAGTATTGTGGAATCCTTGTCAGTTTCTCACCTTGTGTTTCTGGATTCTCTCCCATGATTGACCCAAATTTTTACTTCCTGTTCTCCGACTCATGTATGATACACATTACATTTTTTTCATGTCTAGTTCATGTTACGTTTCATGATATGTCCTTTATGGGGATATTATAGTGCTTGTGCTGTTTGGAAGTTTTCAATTGGCAGGGATCCTCTTCATAGAGATACCTGTATTTGTATTGCACCTTGCTATTGTCCCTTTTGGTTCCTTTTTTTATCATATTTTCATTCTAGAGTGACAAATTTTCCGTTCTGTTAATCAAATAGTTCAAATGAAAGTTTTGATGGTGATCTAGACACAATCAAGTTATTGACTTGATTGGATAGTGACATACATGTCACTGTTATCTTATCAACAGGCTGTGACGGCAATATTGCAGCAGGCTATGCAATACGTTGACCAGACACGTGAGCTTGAGACCAAGATAGAGCTTATCAAGACACTTAACTCTGTCGCTGCTCGGAAGGTGAATATGTGAAATCAAACTCTATTACTGCTTATATTCATCAGCAATCTGTTTTTATTTTGTGGTTTCTATAGCTAGTTTTGTCATGCCAGATATATGTCGAAATTGAGAGAGCACGGTTGATCAAGAAACTTGCAAAAATAAAGGAAGAACAGGGTCTTATAGCAGAAGCTACTGGTTTGATGCAAGAAATCAGGGTAACTTGAATTTGACTTCTGTTGCCATGTAATTGGTTTTTCCTTGTCCGACATTCCTATGATGGGTTGGTAATGAAGGTAGAAACTTTTGGAGCAATGGCAAGGATGGAGAAAATTGCTTTATTGTTTAACAAGTACGGGTATTTTGTATTGCTTTTAGCCGTTTATGCACTATTACTATGATTGGTTTTCTGATCAATGGATTTTGCAGGTTCGTTTGTGCTTACTTCGCAGGATTATGTCTGTGCAGATATCCTTTCCAGGAAGATCAGCCCCTGAGTGTTTGATGCAGATCCTTCCAAAGAGAAGGAAAAGCCCAAAGAAGGTGAAAACATTGTGGAACAAGTGCCAGCTGATATTCCGTCACTTCTGGAGTTGAAATGGATATACTATTACTCATGATATGGTAAATTGGTGTTTTTCTTTTTCTAATGTTGTGTCCACTATCTTTTAACTAATTTGTTTTTGCCGATCAAGTGCCACCTGGTGTTCAGGTTGTGGTTCGAACCATGAACTTGTATGGCTTTATATATCTGGCACATACTCTTCTTCCTTTCTAGCTTTATCGCAAACTCTGACGTTCCAGATGTTCTTGGTAGATTTGAATTCGCATCTTAGTTTACCCCACATTTTATGTGCTTAATGATGTAGGTATAGGTAATACTCACATAACAATGATTACCCTGAGATTTGTCGATACTATAAGGCGATATATGAGATTCCATCAGTGAAGGGCAACCCAGAGCAGTGGATGCCGGTGAAGCTCTTTCCTTGTTAAGTCTTCACTGAGTTTTTCAAGGCACAGCTGTTCATTCTGTGATTTAATTAAATGCAGGTTCTAAGGAAAATCCGCCGGTACTTAATTCTATCACCACATGATCCTATGCAGTCAAGCCTTCTTAATGCCACTTTAGAGGATAAACATCTCTCAGAAATTCCCCAATTCAGGTACCATCTTTGAATTGGTCTAGGTAATTGGTTGTGCATCTTGCAATATCTCAATAATGTGCCATAGAATTTGGTCGACCATGCCTTTGATATTTTAACGCAGGTTGCTGCTGAAATAATTGGTCACGGCGGAGGTTATCCCAGGGCCTTCTCTTTAAAGTACTTTCAAAGATGAATTTGCCAATGAGAAAACATGCTAGGAGGTGCACTTGTTGAGAAGGCAGCAGAAAATCTTAGACAGGGCCGAATCATAGTCAAAAGAAGAATTTTGGCTTCACCTGGGCGAGACAAGCTACCTTTAGCTGGGAGCCTCTTCAGAGAATCATTGAACATGTAATTACAGAACTTTGTCGTTTTTCTTCTTTTCATTGGATCATCATTCAGATGGGACTCACTCTAGTTTCTGCAGAATATTATTGTTGTTTTGAAGTACTCCTTGAGGATTACCTTAAACAGATTTGCAGAGCTGTTATGCCTCAGTATCCAGGTCTGATTATATGGAACATTTGTTTATGTTCTTTATCAATGTCACTCTTTATGAATGATTGCCTAGACCCCTCATTTAACCCTGAGCAGCCTCTCTGCCTGTGATCTCTGATTGGGGTATGGTTGCTGGACTTGGATACAAGTTCCAAAATATGTGTAAAAGAGGTTTTGGTGCAATGAAAGCCAAAGGCTTGTCATGGATTTGAGAATGTTGTCTTCATAGTTTTGTTTCGTACACTTGGCTTAGTCAACTTCTGCTCATAAATTTGTTGTAGCTGTAAGTTTCATTGTCTGGCCTTGTGAAACCATTTCTTGTGCCATGGAGCCTGAAATTCTAATGCACTTTAGAAGAGTGGGAGGAGCTCTGCTATATTGCTAGAAATAGCTGAGCAAGCTTTTTCTGCTAGTCTTAACACTCACCATTTCCTGTATTTAGAAAATCTTTGTAGCTGAATCACTCCAGGAAAAGAGCTTTGTTTTTGGGTTCTCTTACTGCTGTTGTTAAGAGGTTTAATCAATCACATGCCTCAATTTATTAAATCAACACTATCATCTGATAGATAGGCCATATAATGATAATTATACAAGCTAGTATGATATTCTATCAGCATGACCTCTTACTTCTATATTACCATTTTAGGAAGCTGAGAAGCATCTCTCCTTAATGGTTTTTTCCAAGTCCGTGGTGGCAAAGATAGACCGGCCAATGGTAGTTGTCAGTTTCCAGACGACAAAGGAAAGCAATGAGATTTTGGACTCAGAGGCAACAAATTTGGAAAAGCTGCTTGACCTTGTCGAGAAAAGTTGCCACCAAATCCCCAAGGAAACCACGGTTGGTAAGGCTGCTTTGAGAGCTTGAAGATGTTCTTAGTTGAATGAATGATCTCTCTCCCCTCGAGCCTCTCTCTCTCTCTCTCTCTCTCTCTCTCTCTCACCGACGAATGCTGTTTCACATTGTGGTCTGAAGTGGGGACTGAAGATATTCCTCATAGAACTCTAGCGTAGCTGTCTTAAATTTGATTGCATATTTTGCAGGGGGACCAGATCCGGGCCTTGTTTCGGACTGAAATGATATACTGAATACACTTTCTGTATAGGAAATGTAGTTTGGTCTTTTCATCTTTCTTCTTTCTTCTTTCCCCCCTCCTTTTAATTGAAGATTTGCGGGCTTTCAAGGTCCAGAACTTGTACCAATGGAACAGGTAGCGGCACGAGATGTGCACTCATTTGAACTAAAATAAGCGCCTTGTTACAGAATTGTGTTTTGCATTACAAATATTGCCTGTGCTTGTGTTTTTCTAACATCGGGAATAACATTAGCTCTCCAGATTGAAGGCTTAATGAATGCTACTTTTCCATTTCATTTCACATTCGAAATGAGCACCTGTTTCTAGGGTGCTTCATTTCAATAACATAACTGTACTTTTTATGTCCTCAAATGACGTTATTTTTCTCCAAGTTGATACTTGATATGGCGTGGACCTTGTCCTATAGATTTCCAGCTCCATCATTTTCTTTATGGAAACTGAAAAGATTGGGAAAAGATGTGGTCACGATAACTTTCTTCACAAAGTAAATGTATTTATCATTTTATTAACGAATGCGATCATCCAACTTACTTAGCATAAGTCAGACTAAGAAAATTAATAATTTTCAATGCACAAACCTTTCTTGTTATATGTGTCGTTCAATGCTTTGGAAATTACATCAATCATCATAAGATACACTTCAAAGTCATTCTTGAGGTCCTCATTAACATGATCAATTATTTATGAGAAGTAAAATTTTTTTTTTCTTAAAAATTTAATTTTCGGTTTAAAGTGACCAGAAACCTTTTTTAGTGTAATTGTCAACGCCTTATTTCAAGCGTAGGGAAAATTCGAGGTAACGCAAAAAATCAATTTTCCGGCCATTATTTGAAGATCTCTTTTCGCCACGTACATGAAAACCAATTAAAATTCTGAAAAAGAAAAAAACAACTGCTATAAAGCATTCAAAACATTTTGTTGGACAAAAATTAACGTACGAAAAAGTTTGTGATGTTCATTACAGTAAGGGTGGATCATATGCTTAGTGAAGAAGAACCCCATCAATTTTAGTTGATAATTTTCGGCCAATTGGAGTGGTACCAATTTGAAAACCGTCATTCGTTTTCCAATTTCTTGTTTTTTTTACGGAACCTTAAATCCCATCTTCCCTTCTTTTTATACAATTATTTTGTTTTCAATTACTTTTTCTTTTTTTACTTTTCCATCCTACCTATAGTCATTTTAAAGGGCTGACATTACAATGATAGTGCAGGATAGTGCAGCTGATTATTGAGAAGATCATGACTCCTGATGTTGCGGAGGTCAAGGACCTGGACTCAACTCTGAGAGGCACGGGCGGGATTGGGTCGACGGGGGTGTGAGGCCCGTGTGCTGGGTTTCGGCCATCAACTTTGTTCTTTAAAAGTTTATTTTCATTGGGTTTTAGGCTGTGCCTGGGATGCACGCAGGTCTGGCAGGAGGATTATCTTGGTGAGAAATTTCATCGAACTCTTGGTGCGTAAGTATCTGCTAATTGCTATGTGCTCAGCCACCCTTTTGAAGTATCTCCTTGTGCTCAGCCTCTCTCCATTTAATTGTGTAATTTGGAATAAAGCCTTTGGAGTTGCTAGTTTGCTGGGTTAATCCTTCCGTCAAGTAATTAGCAGTGCCGCACGATGCCATCACCTTTGTACGGCAACCGTCCCTTCTGGCTGGGGAAGGAATTTTTTTTTTTTCGTCATAGCATATAGCTATTTACCTTGTGTATTTCTTTCGTCCTTCTGTCTTCTTCTTTTGCTGCCGTCATCTGGTTTTGCATTCGTTTTGTTCTCTTCTTTACTTTTTGCTCCAGATGCTTCTCTAGTTAACTTTCTCAAGAGGTACGAGAGCTTCTTCAGTGATGCGCTTCTGTTGTGGTGATGCTCGTGCTTTTGCTTTTCTACTTTTGAGCTCATTCCCCCATTCAAGATAACATACAGTTGTCAGTACCAAAATAAGGATTAAGAATCTATCATTTTAGACCTTAGTTTTCTGTATTGTCTTATGATCATCGATCAAAATAATGGCCCAATATCAATCATTTGAGATCGATCTTAACAACCTTTTCCTTAGGGTTAGATTTATACGTACTTATACTGCATGGGTTGCCTCCCATATGTGTACTGATTAGATCTTGAACTGTCATTTTGTGTAGCTGTGACATACCATCTACATATAACCATCTGGAAAACGAATCTCTTTGGCATATCTATATGGGAATTGGCTCTAGGCAATCTGTAGAGATGCAAGATCTCAGGCCTGATGCTTTTGCTCTAGAATCTAGTATGGTGGAATCCTCTCCTGTTTCTCACCTTGTGTTCTTGGATATTTTCCCATGATTGCCCCCAAATTTTTAGTTCTTGTCTACTCATGTATAACTCACATTACTTTTTTTTTCATGTCTAGTTCAGGATACGTTCATGATTTGTCCTTTGTGGGGATATTTAAGTGCTTGTGCTGTTTGCAAGTCTTCAATTGGCTGGGATCCTCTTGATAGAGATACCGTATTTGTATTGCACCTTGCTATTATCCTTTGTGCTTCTTTTTTGACTATATTTTCATTCTATAGTGAAAAATTTTCTTAATCAAATAGTTTAACTCAGTTTTAATTGTGCTCTCGACATTGATTGGATGGTTACATAAGTGTCGCTATTTTCTCATCAATAGGCTTTGACAGCAATGGTGCAGCAGACTATGCAATATATTGACCAGACACATGATCTCGAGACCAGGATAGAGCTTATTAAGACACTAAACTCTGTTGCCGCCGGGAAGGTGTCTATGTGAAATCAAACTCTATTGCAGCTTATGTTCATGAGCAATCTGTTTTTATTTCATGATTTCTATAGCTAGTTTCGTTATGCAAATACACGTCGAAATTGAGAGAGCCCGGTTGATCAAGAAACTTGCAAAAATAAAGGAAGAACATGGTCCGATAGCAGAAGCTGCTGATTTGATGCTATAAATTGGCGTAACTAGAAGTTTACTGCTGTTGTCACTGATCTTGTAATTCGTTTTTCCTTGTCCAAGATTCCTATGATGGGTTTGAATTGCAGGTAGAAAATTTTTTAGCAATGGCAAAGACGGAGAAACTTGCCTTTATCCTTGATTAAGTGCGGGTTTTTTGTATTGTTTTTAGCTGTTTATGCACTATTACTATAATTGGTTTTCTGATCGATGGATTTTGCAGGTTCATTTGTCCTTAGATTGCCAGGATTATGTCTCTGCACATATCCTTTCTAGGATTAGCCGTTTATGCACTATTACTATGATTGGTTTTCAATCGATGGGTTTTGCAGGTTCATTTGTGCTTAGATTGCCAGGATTATGTCCATGCGCAGATTTTATTAAAATGAATAAAGGCTGTTTTAATTTCTTCTCTTGGTAAACTAAATAGAGCCAGATTTTAAAAATCGCTTTGCCTGCTTGCTCCTATTGGAATTTAACTCCCTTTCGAGAAGGACTTGTGTGCAACACCTTCGCCGTTGCACAAACCAACCCGAATTATCATTCAATGAAGGTAATTTCCCTGTTCATATCGCCAATCTACATTTATACAATATTTCGCAAGTATGAGGAATATATTATAATCCGAGTTAGTTATGATATATTAAGAATTTAATCAACTCGAGGTCTTATTTGGGTAAACAGTCTTATGGGAAGAAAGCAAGGCCGCCCTATATTCCATCCTTCCATACTTATGCTTCGATTTTCCAACGGTGTTGCCTTAATGCTTTATTTGGGAAGGAGGGGAAGAGGAGGAAAATGAAGTAAATTTTTGTAACTTTTGTGAGAAGAAATGGGAGGAAAATTCAAAATTTTTCTCTCCTCCTTTCCTTC